GGAGGTCATTGAGACATGCCTGTGGACTGGATATTGGGATCCCCACTCCTTCCTCTGGTTGCCATGCACTTCTGCCATGATGTACGGCCTCACCAAAGGTCCAAAAGCCACTGAGTCAAATGGCCATGGACTGAAACCTCTGAAACTGTGAGCCAAAATAAACCTTTTCTCTTTTAAGTTGATCATCTCAGATATTTTGTCACAGCTGAGTAACAGTAGATTCAACCACGTTGTCATGTAAAGCTGTAGTTCATTCTCATTCCTGTCCTATTCCATCTCATGGTTGATGAACATTTGGGTTATCTCCAGGTTTTATTTATTACACATATTACAGAATGTTGCTATGAACATGTCTCTTGGTGAATGTAAGTATATGTTGTTTTGTTTTGTTTTGCAGTGCCGAGGACTGAACCCAGGGCTGGGCACATACTAGGCAAGTATTTTTCCACCTAGCTACATCCACAGCCCAGTTATATATTTCTGATGGGTAAGTACCCAATGTGGACTCACTAGTGTATAAGGTATGCATGTGTTCAGCTTCAGAAGAGAGGGCCAGTTTTCTGAAGTGATTGTGACAGTAATATCTGAGAGTTCTAGTCCTTCCACATTCTCAACAATTGGCACAGTCAATCTTTTTAATAGGTATGGTGGTATCTCAAGGATTTAACTTGAATTCCTCCACCAATTAATGAAGTTAATACCTTTTCATATATCTATTAGCCAAGTTTTCATTTATTCTTATTTGCACAACTATACACGAATGTATCCTTGATTACAGAGCTCATATGTATAAAGTCCCTCTAAAACCAAATTCTCACCCCGTCTCTCCACAAATCCTTCCCCAGTTTTGAACTCTGGGCTTGGAGTTAGGAGGCTTGTTCTGCTATTGTCTTGGTGTGTGTGTGTGTGTGTGTGTGTGTGTGTGTGTGTGTTTGTGGTGCTGGGAATTGAACCCAGGGCCTTGTGCATGTTTCTGTGTGATTTTTGGACAAGTCTCTTCTCTGGGTCTGTCTCCCCACCTATAACTGTTAAACTAAGTGATCTCCAAGGGCCTGATATTCTCAAGCTTCTGTGATTCCAAGAAACTTCATGTGGTAGAGATGGCCACTGTCTCCAGTATCCATTCTTTCTATCTTCCTTCCTCTGGAACCCTGAGTTTTAGCTGAGCATATGCCCCCTCCCCCCAACAATGGTGTGTGGACAGAAATGATGTAACTTCTGGATCCTGCCTGTACAAAGAAGGGTCATGATCTACTACTGCCCTCTCTTCCTGTTGGCTAAGAGGACCTGATGGTAGGAAACAGAGGTTGCCACTTTGATCACAAGATGGAAACCAGGATGTGTTAAGGATGAAAGAGGTAGAAGCCGAGACACCCCACCACTCCTACACCTTGCAGCTGACACACGAGCTTGGGGTTGCTTAGAGAGATGTAAATTTCTATCTGAAGCCCTTGTTTGTTTTTTTTCATACCCACTGATCCTGAATCCTGAAATGCAGAGAATGACTGGGTCAGATTTCTTTAAGGAACTGAGATCTTAACAACATAAAAGGAGACAGCCATACAGATTGTGGGCGGAATGTTCCAGGCAAAGGAACCATCTGTACAAAAGCTCTGCGACCTGGCCAGCCTCTGTGACCTGAGGCAGACCTAGCCAAGGTGGTGCTCGTTCAGCGACTGAGCCAAGAGGTGGTTCTTGTGACCCAAGCAGGACCAATCAGATATTTTCAGATATTGATTTGCTATGTAACTGAGACAGAAAGGATCTTTCTCTGGGATTATAAATCTTTTTTTAATATTTATTTTCTAATTGTAGTTGGACACAATACCTTTATTTATTTATATGTGGTGCTGAGGATGGAACCCAGGGCCTCACATGTGCCAGGCGAGTGCTCTATCGCTGAGCCACAACCCCAGTCCTGGGATTATAAATCTTAACGACCACTTAAACCTAGAGTTAGTGGGGATCAAAGTCTTTGACTCAGGATCCACCCACATTTGAACTTCTCATGGCCCTGTTATGTAAATCAGCTGGCTCATTTTTTTTTTCATTCCTGAACTGGGTTTCGGTCACTTGCAACCAAGAGCTCCTGGGACAATCCAGGGCTTGGTCTGCTGCAAATCATAGGCTCTGATGTTTGGAATTGGGGCTCAGAGCAGGGAGCAGTTAGGATTCCCCATTCCCTCTGTGGACAGTTGGTGATCTCTGCTTTTAAGTAGTGAATTGGCTGATTAAAAAGCCTGTTGAAGGGACAAGCCACAGTCTAAGCTGGCACATAGGACAGGGAAACAAGAAAATCAAGTCTCAGTAAGAAAGGCCCTTAGCACTCATCAACTCAATGGTGATGCCTAGAGGTCAGATCATGTGTCATGCCAGGCTATGAAAACTGAGTCCTCTGTCCAGGGATAAAATTACTTCTAGCAAGGGCAGGTCATTCTTCTTCTGTACTTCCTGGTGCTCTAGCCACACCAGCCCTATGCTCCTCCAGTTCCTTCTAGCCCCAGGGCCTTTGCACCACCATTCTTTCTGCCTGAAATGCTGTTGTCCAAGCATAGCTTGGTCACTCATCCAAATGTCAGTCTTTCAATGAAACATTTTCTGATCCTCCAAAGCAGGTCAGGTCCTGCGGCCTCTTTCACATCACCTATCAAGTCACTGGTACATCTGCTTCCTAGTTCTCAGGAATATTCATCCTCATTTGGTGCAGTGTTTACCATGTGCTCCCCAAGTGGTCTGGCCACACATTTGTCTGCCTACTTTGAACTATTTATACCTAAAGGGCACCATCTGTCTCCCATATCTCTGTGCCTAGAACCAAGCCAGGCTCTATACTTGCTTAGCAGTGATGAGTCTGAGATGGCTCGACAAACCTTCGCTTCCACATCAATCATTTTAACCAGAAATGAGCTCAGGGGCCAGGAGGCAGGAGACCCAGCAGGTAAGACACCTAGAGGTTCTGGTCTGGTCTGTCTCTGGCCCAGCAATGACTAGTCTCCCAGTTGGTGATGTAGGTCCTATGTTGTAGGTACAGGTGCGGGCTCAGGCTCCTGGAAGAAGCTTTGGGAGTCTTCAAGCTCTGATCTTGGCTGGCCACCTTCCAGAAGGTGAGAACAGGGTGACATGAGGCCTTAATAAGGTGAGCCAACCACAGCTCTGATGAAGGACACCAAGAGGTGGAAGGGACTGGATTGTCTGTAGGAGCTGCCAGGAGTTTATAATTCTAAATGAATGAATCTATTCTACATTAAAAATGGGTTGTACTGCCAGGTTGGTGGTGTATGGCTGTAATCCCAACTGAGGAGGCTAAGGCAGGAGGATCCCAAGTTGGAGGACAGTCTCAGCAACTTAGTGAGACCTTATCTCAAAATAAAAAAACTTAAGAAGGGCCGGGGTTACAGATTAGTGGTAAAGTGCCTGTGGGCTCAATCCCCAATACAGGGGCGGAGAAGGACTGTACTGTTTTGGGGTCTGAATTGACCTTGTTTTGGCCCTAGATGGGGATTCCCTGTCCCTTTGCAGATGGGTAAGTAGACTTGCAAACTGGGTTCTCCTTAACTGGACCTTAACTTTCATTGGGAGGAGACTCATTGTCAGTCTTAAAATGACTACAAGCACTTGTGAAGTGGCTAGAGCCAGAAACCCATGAAGGCATCCTTGTTTCCTTCTCCACAGTGATTTAAAGCATTGGCAAAATTTGCTAAGTGGTGTAGTTCAATGGCAGAGGTTCTTGGCTAGCATGCATGAGGCCCCGGCTTAACCCCCAGCATGGGGTGGGGTGGGAGGAGAACATCTTTCAGTGGGCTGCACGTTAGATACAAAATAAAATCTAAGCTCATTACCAGATGTGGGATTTGGCCTTTCTACCCACATACCTCTTCCTCAAGTGCTCCAAAGCCCTGTTGAGCTCCTCCCACCACAGGGTCATGGTACATACTAGCTTCTCTTCTTTGTTCTTGTGACCTGCATCTTTGTAAGGATCTTTTCTTGTCCCTCTCAGGCTTTTTTTTTTGGTACTGGGAATTGAACTCAGGGGTGCTGAACCACAAAGCCACATCCCCAGCCCTTTTTAAAAATATTTTATTTAGAGACAGGGTCTTACTGAGTTGCTAGTGCCTCCCTAAGTTGCTGAGGCTGGCTTTGAACTTGTGATCCTCCTGTCTCAGCCTACTGAGAGGCTGGAATTACAGGCATGCGCCACCACGCCCAGCTTCCCTCTGTCTTAGCCTCAGAGAGGGTCTCCAGACCATGCTCTGAAGAGGGTCCTACCCCTTACTCTCTGAGACCCTTTCCTTCTTTCAAAGCACTTATCACAGTTTGTAACCACTTTGTCCCTTTTCTTCTTATCTGTCTTCCCTACTCTCTCTGTACAATTTCCAGAAGGAGCCAGGCTGTGGCCTGTCCTACTGTCTCCCTGACACCCAGTGCCTAGTGGTAGAGCAGAGATTCTCAAGAACTATCCTGTGCCTGGAAAGCCTGTGGTGGTGGCGTCTCCAGCAGTCAGGAACTCCCCCTTTGCTTCTGGAGTTTGGTCCTCATTCACCCGTCATTCTTCCTCAGGTCTAGGCTGAATAGAACAGGGGCTCCCAGGCAGCCTGGCGACCACTGCCTGTGTGGAACCAAAGCCCGGCTCAGCTCCACCCCCAGGGTTGGCACGCTGGGCCTCAGGCCCAGCACTCAGCTCCACTGCTGGAGGCCCAGGCTTTCCTGAGCTTCTTGGGATCCAAAGTCCAACTGCTCTCCTCTTGCCTCGTGCTCCAAGCCCCTCTCCCAGGCCCCACCACGCCTGCCCTGGGGAACTCTTGGTTGCTGTCAAGCTGAAGCCACACCTGAGGAGAGAGCTGGGAGTGGAAAACATGAGCCTCAGGCTGAGCTTGGGCAGGGGCAGGAAGCTCGGAGAGCCCATGAGGATGTGACCAGGAATGGTAAGATTCAGCAAGTTGGCAAAAGCCAGCCAGGGCGCTGGGTCCCTGCAGGCATGTAAGCAGGAAGCGGGCACAGGGCACAGTTCTAAAAGCAGCCTTTACTTTGGTTTTCACTTCTCCAAGGCCCTGGGAGCCTTCTCAAGTTCTAGATCTTGGGTCCTGCACACTGGTTACTCCTTCAGCCACTGCAGGAGCTGAGGTGTGTAGTAGGTGATGATGATGTCAGCACCTGTGTCAGGGAGAGGCAGGAAGAGGGGTGGGGCATGGCATCAGCATAGCCTGTGGGTCACAGCACAGGACTGGGCCCACTTCAGTCAGCTCCAGACCCTGGGTCTGGAGTCATTTTCTCTTTCTGGGCCTCATGTGAAATGCACAGCTGGGGAAGTAGTAACTGCAAGCCCCCTTCCAGGGCTGGGATGGAGACATCAAGGCCAGCGCTCCAATGGGCTGGAACACAAGCACTCTGCTTCCTAGCCAGTGACCTTTCACTCCCTGCCACATCACCCTGAGCACCTGGAAGGGGCTGACTGAGCCTCTACCCCATTGTCTCCCACAGGTCCTAGTGATGAGCTAGAGTGCCAAATCTGCTTCCTGTTTCACCAGACCTTTCTGGTGAGTGGGGTGGGCAGGGTTCTACTGTTAAACCCTTGGCCCATTGGCCCACAGCTGGAGCCCATTCTAATGACCAGGATAGTGTGCTATACTAACAAAACCTGTTCCCATTATGGAGTAACAGGCATATGCTAATTGAACATATTATCTCATTTCATCCTCAGGACAACCAGGCGCCAGCTATCTTATCCCTAGCTTACAGACAAGGACCTTGGGATTGAGAGAGCATCTTGTCCAAGTTTTCATCACCAGAAAGCAATAGAGGGCTCTGTTTTCTTCACTGTCCCATGTTCTGTTCTGTCCTTCCACCCCCTTTCCTCAATCTGTGTCTATTTGTTTTTTTTGGGGGGTGGGGAAGAGGATAGAGGTGCCCAGGGGCTCTTTACTACTGAACTACATTCCTAGACCTTTTTATTTTGAGACAGGATCTTGCTAAATTGCTGAGGCCAGCCTTGAACTTGCAATCCTCCTCCCTCAGCCTACCAAGTAGCTGGGATTACAAGCGTGTGCCACCACGCCTGGACTTTGTCTCTTCAGATACCTGTGTTTACAAGCATAAGAGTCCAGGCTGTCTCATGACATCGTTTCCCTATCTGGACAAACTGCCGGTCAGTCTCTGGGGCACAGGTCACAACCCCCACCTGCTCTGTTCTGTGCTTACCTGCTCTGCGGAAGGCGGTCATGGCCTCCAACACGGCAGCCTTGAGATCAAATGCCCCAGCCCGGGCTCCGTGCCACAGCATGGCGAACTCCCCAGACACGTGGTACACAGCGAGGGGGAGCTGGGGGTGCTGTGGAGAAGCAGCCATGGGAATGGGGTTGAGGTGGAGGGCAGCTGTGCTCTGGAGTGTCCCTCCCTCCCTGCCCAGTCTGTGACCACCTTGAGCTCTATTCTGAGTCTCTGCTCCTGGCAGCCCAGTCTGATCTAGAGCTGTCCATCCAGAGCCGTTCAAAGGCTCCTGTGAACCCCGGCACAGAGGCCGTGCTGGTTCTGGGCAGGAATGGGAAGAGAGGCCTCCAGCTCAGGTGCAGACTGCTTCTAGCTCTGAGATGCCAGAGTCCCTCAATCGAAGGTCCCAGCGTCTGGGGACTCTCCCAATCTCTGAGTCCTCAAGTCTGCTCTGTGCTCACCTTGTCCTTCACCTCCCGCACGATGTCCAAGTAGGGCATTCCTGGCTTCACCATGAGCATGTCGGCTCCTTCCCGTATGTCCCGGTCCTAAGGGATGAGGGTAAAGTGTCTGGGAAGGGGACAGGAAGGAACGGTTTGTGTGTGTGTGAGAGTGTGTCTCAAGCCTGGTCACTTACCACTGCTCGGAGGGCCAGGCCCCGGGCTCCAGGGGGCAGCTGGTAGCAGCGGCGGTCTCCAAAAGCTGGGCTTGACTGAGCAGCGTCCCTGCAGAGCACAGTCACCCTGTGAGCTCCAGCTGTGGGCTACGGGTCATGGGTTAACAGCAGAAGCCTGCCCATCCCACTCACCGGAAAGGTCCATAGAAACAGGAAGCAAATTTGGCACTGTAGCTCATCACTGATACCTATGGAGACAATGCGGTGAGGCCCAGGCAGCCCTTTCCAGGTGCTCTGGGGTGAAGTGACAGAGTCGAAGGCCCGGGGCTAAGAAGAGGTGTGCCTGAGTTCTAGTCCCATGGGAACACTGGGTCTTGATCTCCCCATCCGAGGTGCAGAGGCTGAGATGGACCCCAAAGGCCTAATCCAGCGTTGTCCTCTGCTCTGTGATTCTAGGCTCATGGACGCAGGGCTGTCCAGGCTCTCTCCACCCTGCCGCCCTCCCCCTGCACTCCCTGCACATACCCTGTTGCCAAGTCCATGTGCCATCAGGGCCTCCTTGATGGCTTCCACTCGTCCGTCCATCATGTCCGACGGCGCTACTACCTGACACCCTGAGGGGCAGAGGGTGGTATTCAGAACTCTGGGACCCTCCTATCCACTCTACCAGCTCCCTGACCCACAGGTGTCCATCCCTGCTGGGGACTCACTCACCTGCCTTGGCATAGGCCAGTGCCACCTCTGCCAGTCGCTGGCGGCTTTCCTCGGCCTTGAATGCTCCATTCTCACTCAGGAGCCCTGCAGGACAAGATGGCAGGGGTGGGGGAGTGCCTTGGCTCTTGGCCTGTGTCCACCCTGGAGAGAACTGGGCAGTGGGTGTGGGTGGCAGCAGGGCTGGTGGAAGGGAGGAAGCTCACCACAGTGACCATGGGAGGTGTAGGGGCACAGGCAGACGTCACAGGCCACCAAGAGGCTGGGGAAGGTCTTTCTCAACAGACGGACTGCCTCGATAGTTGGGGACTCCTCGGAGTCGGCTGCAGAGCCCCTCTCATCCTAGGGGCAGGGGAAGAACAAAGCGATGTGTCTGTCACATGAAGCCCTTGGGGGGACAGGGCAGCCAGCCATTGAAGAGCGCAGCCCCGGCCCTCACTTTCTGTCACTGTCACAGCCCCTGGATAAGGAAGCACTGAGGACTGTGCCCACTGCAGAGGAAACAGGGACCTAGAGAGGGGACTTGACTTACCCTGTCAGGGTATCAGGTACTTAGCTTCCTGACCCCGTAGGAGTACTATCTTAAGGGCTGGGACGATGGCCATTCACTCCTGTCCCCACCCTCGCCCCACCTCTTTTCTTAACTCTTCCTCCAATTTTCACCTTGGGAACTCTGCTGGGGACACCAAAGATGAGGACGCAGCGCAGGCCCTCTTCAACCAGGGGCTTCAGCATCTCTTCCAGCCGGTTCACACCATACCTGGGAGGGGATGGGAGGGACTGAGGGGAGGCAGGTCCTGGTGGCACCAGGAGGGTGCCAACCCCCAGGACAGGGCTGGGAAGGAATGCACCCACCAAACAGGTGGGGAAATCAAACCCCAAATATCAGAGCTGTGGAATCAGCTGTGGCAGCTCCTCCGAGGTGGTCTAACTGAACTTCTTCCTCAAGTTCAGCTCAGGATGCAAAAACCTCACCGAGGGCTCCTGGTGAAGCTTGTCACTTCACGAGGCTGCCCCTTAACTGTGCACAGCTGTGGCCCCAGGGAAGCCCTTCTCTCCACTGAGCTGCAGTTTGCGTCTCTGGATCTTCTACCTCCGGGGTCTACTTCTGCCTCTGGGTACCTCCCCCTGCAAAATTTCTCCCTCCATCATCCCCTTGCCCTCTCCAGCATGCCTCCTACCTGGCCACTCCTGGCAGGCTGGCAATAGGCTGTACGTCATCAGGAACATCCCTGTAAGAGCAGGGGGTGGGCTATGGATTGGTGGCTGTGGGAAGAGCAGGTGGTGGCGGGGTGACTGGGAGGGATGGTTGGGAAGCTGGGAAGGAATGTGGGAATGGAGATGGAGGGAGGGGGATGGGGTCCAGTGTCTGGCTCCCCTGGCCTGAAATAATAATAGGAACAAGAATAACAGTGACAATAAAAGCAAGTGTACTAGAAGAACAGTAATGCGTCAACAGGAAGGAGTCAAGTGGTTAAGAATGTGGACTCTGACATCAGAAGTCCTTGCTTCCTCTTCTAGCCACTTTCTGACTGGGTGATCTTGGCCAAGTTATATCATTTCTTTGAGCCTCAGGCCCTTCATCCAGAGCCTAGATGGGATCAATTCCTTTATTCAATAAAAATTTACTGAGCACTTATTTTTTTAAAAAATACTTATTTATTTTTTAGTTGGACACAATATCTTTATTTATTTATTTTCATGTGGTGCTGAGGATCGAACCCAGGGCCTCGCATGTGCTAGGCGAGCGCTCTACCGCTGAGCCACAACCCCAGCCCCAACTGAGCACTTATTATGTGCCCGGTACTAGTCTAGGTGCTGGTGATGAAACAGTGAACAGAATGGGCAAAAATCCCTGCCCTCATGGAGTTGACCCTGTTGGAGACAACGTCTATTCCTTCTTCATACAAATGCTGTCAGGACTGAACAGATCATGTATGTAGGTTGCTCGCATAGTACCTTGTACACAGTAGGTCTGCTGTTGCTTTATTAATAATCATGATTGCATGATTATTATTCATAAGCCCCTCTCACGAGGACATAGCACTTTACAGCTGACAGAGCCTTCTACGTTTCTATTGTATTCCAAAGATTCAGGATGGCAGACAAGAGTAGTTATTCTTATTTTACAAATGGGAGAACTGAGGTCTTTTCAAGGTTTGTGCCATTCTTAAGACTTCTGTCCTTATCCCAGTTGGCCACTTCTAATACCCTGAGTTTCCAGCTGACAGCCCATTTCCCATCCCCCTATGGTACTGGGGACTGAATCCAGGGCCTTGCTTATGCTAGGCAAGCAATCTACTGCTGAGCTACATCCTCAGCCCTTTTTATTTTTTATTTTGAGTCAGGGTCTTGTTAAATTGCCCAGGTTGGCCTGGAACTTGTGATCCTCTTGCCTCAGCTTCCTCAGTAACTGGGATTACAGGCATGTGTCACCATGCCTGGCTGTGATGGCCCAATTCACACCTCCCCCCACCAGCAATACTGATGCCTGTACCAGTCACACACCTGCCCCCACCATGGACAGATCAAAGGCCTGGCCCATTCCTGGGGACTCACGTGACAAAGATGGGGTAAATGAAGTTGGAAGCACTGAGGGTGGTGGCGGCTGTCTGCCAGGTCCGAAGCAGGGGGTGGAAGTAGCCACTGTGCAGAACAGACTGGGGCTGCATGGTGGGGGCCAGAGGCCAGCCAGCTAGTTCTTGGGGTGTCTGCTGCGTGCTGAGCTCTGAAAGGGGCAACAGGAGGCACAGAGACGGTCACATTCCAGCTTCCTGCCGCCCCTCTCTCTAGCCTAGTGGGGTCCACCAATCCCTGCCGGGCTCACAGTAAAGACAAAAAATGAACATAAGTCTTTAGAAACTTCATAGCAATTTGAATCCAATGAAGAAACTTTTGAGTTTGTTGTGTATGTGACTGCTATTTTAAAAAAATAAATTTCTGGTTATTAATTTTTACCAGATTTTATCAAACAACCAATGGGCTGGAAATTAAAAAAAGGAAGACAACAGAACTAATCCCTCCCTAGGCATACTCGGAGAAGCGCCGATCCAGACAACATTTCCCTGCACAATGCCCATGCTCACAGTAGAAATTTTAGAAGAGTACAGATAAGCCAAAAGAGAAGAATTCCCTATAATTCCACCTCAAGTGAAGCGCAGGTAATACTTGCCATGGGGACTTCCGGTTATGCAGGACACATGTGCTCCTGCACCCTCCCCCAACGGGGTGACCATTAAGGCTGTCTCCCAGACAAGGAGACTCCGGCACTTTCCTGCTATGTGGTGGCACCTTGTCCCTCTGAGAAGGCTTGTGCAATCTCCATGGCCCCACCACGCCCACATCCACAGGCCTCTCCTCCCCTATCCCGAGAGGCTTTCTTCTTGCTCTTGTTGCAACCTCTCTTACGTAAGAGTTTTTTGTTGATCTGTCTCATCTTGTGCCAATAACTTCTGCGGGGCAGGGTCCAGGGTTAGTTTATTTTCCCCTGCCCCCTTGCACTCTGCCCACCCGTGGACTCTGGCACAGAGCAAGTATTTAATTACATTAAGTACAAGATATTATGCCCTCCATGCCAGAGAGATGACATGAGGCAGGAAGAAGCGGGGCATTCACATGTTTCTTGAGCACTTACTGTGTACCAGGCCACGCTGGACTCTCTCATAGGTGACCTCTCCTTGAGTTTGCATGTCAGTCCAGGGAGGCACGGTTGATGGAGTGCACTTCAGAGAGAAGGAGCCCTGCCACAAAGGAGTCACGGTTTCTATGTGGGTTAGAGAGCAGAAGAAGCTAGTGGAAGACCAGGGCTTGAACTCAGTTTTGCAGGGTAAGTGGGTTCAGCTTAGGAGGGAAAGGTACAGCTCTCCCTTGGGAAGGGAAAAAGGGCAAAGTTGGGGTTGGAGGATAGCTGTGGACTGTTCTGAGGACCCCAGGAGGCGATGGAGCCCATGTGGAAGGAGGAGAGACGAGGGGAAGGGAGGGGGCCAGACTGAAGGCCAAGGAAGATTCTGAGCAGGAAGTGGGGGAGTGGCTGGTCAAAACCTGGCTTTAGGAAGATAAATCTTGCCACTGAGCAGAATAGACCGGAAGCAGAGTACGGGCTATGGGAGGTCTGAGGGTGGAGAAGGAAGGGCCATGGTGATGCGGCCAAGAGGCGGTCTCTCAGGGCGGATGCGCTGTCTGCCTGACCCATAGGCCAGAGGACAGGGAAAGGGCAGGAATAGGGTGATGGGAAACCAGGCTTACAGAGGAGACGGAGGGCTTCATTTCAGACATTTCTTTTTGGAGGTGCTAGTAGCCAGGTGGGGTGTGTGTGTGGGGTAGCCACAGAAAGTGGGGGTGGCAGGTCCAAGTCTAGCTGCTCCTTGGACAAATGGGACCTCAAGGTCCAGGGGGGTAGGGACTTATCCAAGGTCACACAGTGCATTATAGGATAAAACAGCAGAACTAGAACCCCAGTGATCCTTCAGTGTGCTGGGGCTTTCTGTCCAATCTCTCCAATCTCTTTGGCTCCCTCCCAGCCCAGGGGCCCATCTTATCCCATCCTCCTCCTTGGCGGGGTTGGGGTTATCAGGAGCCACACATGGACCCGCCCTATCCCCACACCCCAGGGTGGGTCAGCCTCATCACCTGACACAGGGGCAAGCCAGGGCTCCCCAAAGATGTCTTAATCCCTAAATGAGCAATTATTCAGCAGATATAAGGTCCTGTCTGCCCATTTTGTGCAAGATTTTGCTCCCTGGTCTGCCAGGAATTAATTCAGCTCAGAGTAGTCAAGTTACTTGCCCAAGACCACACGGAGAGTTTAGTGACTGAGCCAGAAACTAAGTTTGTTCTAAACTCCAAATGCAGGGTTTTATATACTATCATCCACAATACTGGTAAATGTTTGATTGAGTAGGTGTCTCTCTGCCCACACTGTCTCTGCAATGGGTGCTGGAGAGAAATATATTGAATGTATTAATTAGGTGCTGGGTACTTTATGCTTATATTATCTCAATTGTAAGAACTGTCTTTTTAGTAATAAGGAAATGAAGGCTCTAAGAGGGTTTACATGACTTGCTCAATGTCATTCTGGAGAGTCAAGTCAAATTTTGAAACCAGGTTCACATGTCTCTGATTCATTTCCCTGAGCAACAATCTTTTGTAGCAGGCTGTGGACTTCTGGAATTCACAGCTGCATTCCACTGGCCTCAACCCCCATTTCCTTTAGAAGGCCCACAGAGCAACTGCCTTCTGCCTATAAGAAACCTCTAGCAGGATTGCCTAGGAGCTGCGCTGCCCAAATTTCATCCTGAGGACCCTGGGAGAGGTGGGGAGGGTACAACTGGAGGGGGAGGCCTTGCTAGAGAAGTTCCGTTTTGATCTTTTTTTTTTTTTTTAATGGTCAGAGAGATAGTAGTTTGAAAAATGGTGCTACTGCTGGAAGAATTAAAAAGTTGAAAATCAGGCTGGGTTTGTGGCTCAGTGGTAGAGCCCTTACCTAGCACGTGTGAGGCCTTGGGTTCAATCCTCAGCACCACATAAAGATATAAACAAATAAAGATATTATGTCCACCTACAAGTAAAAAATATTAAAAAAAGTTGAAAATCACTGATCCTAGTTAATCTTTTACATTTAATATGGAAAATTGGGTGCAGAGAGGCCACAGGACTTGCTTGAAATGACACAGCCAGTGAGGTACAGAGCTAGGAAGTGACCCTGAGGCTGCTGGGACCACATAGTCAGTCTATTACAACAGGCACTTGATAAACATCTGCAGAGTGGGAAAATGCCCCAAGTAACACCTCTGCTTTGCAGAGTCAAATCAGGCCAGGGTTTTGCATTGTGAAAAGTACCTCAAAATTTGGGAGTTTTTTGCACACGGGAAGGGCATGGCCCCTAAATTAAGGGAGCTTGCAAACCTCAGCTTAAATACCGTGTCACCACATTTATAGGAACAAGACACAATGAGGCCCCACACCTTCGCTTGTTCACATAGATCAGGTTAATTTTATGGAAGACAGTACAGGGCAGTGCAGAAGGAACCATCTTTCAGAATCAAGCTATTCCAGGTCTGATCTGTGTTCTACTCTAACGTTGGCCAAGGTCAGCAGCCTTTCAGAGCCTTCATTTCATTATCTACGAAATGGGCTGACATTATCCAGCTTGTGAGGCTGTGGAGAAGATTAGAGGTACTGCTGAGGTATATATCTGGCACCAAGTAGCTACTCAGTAAACAAGAAGCTAATTTTAATATTAATAAGGGCAGGACTGATCTGGAACAAAATCTCCTGGTATAGTCCTGTGCCTTCTGCACCACACCCCGGAGGGAGGACATTTGTTTAGGCCTGGAGGGTCACAAGATGTTTCAAAGTCCCTGCTTCCTAACACCTAATGTGGTGGAGAAGGAATAAAACAACCCCAAACAGATGCAGAATAGTGGGGTGGCCCAGGTGCTGTGGGAGGATCCTGTGTCTGGGAGTCAAGAACAGCTTCATGGATGAAAGAACACTGAAGATCTTGCCTTCCTTGGCTGGCTCCACCCCAACCAGGGTCTAACCTAATTTGGACCCTGAGAGCTGCCACCAAGGGGGCAAGCAGAGCTGCAGGGCTTCAGTCCCACAGCTTGTGTTCCACTGATTCCAGAGGCTTTGCTCTTGGCCCAGAGGGATGGCAACTGCTGCCAGTTCTGGCGGGCTCTGCCGCGGGCTCAGAGGAGGCAGGCAGAATTGCCAGCTAGGTAGAAGAGCCAGGTTTAGAAACCCAAAGCCCCAGAAAGGCCCAGGACAACAGCTGTCAGGCACTTCTGATGAGAAACCTACTGGTTCCTGGTTCAATCAACCCACGTTTCCTGAATTTTCTACTCTGTACCTGCTGTAGTGCTAGATACAGGGATTAAAGAGAAAAATGAGAACCCAATCTGCTCCTGGAGCTTTGAAAGCCCTAATCTTTGGGTTCAGCAATTTGAAACCCAGAGAAGCTCCCATTTCCACAGATTCCTAGAATATCCTTGCTATGAGGTTTCTTGAAGCTTGCTGATTTCATCACTGAAACTCTGGTAAAACTAGGCTCAGAGAAGGGCAAAACATTGACCCTGGATCCTGCAGCTGGTTAGCTGCAGATCTGGGCTAAAATTCAGTTCTCCAGCAGCCCAGTCCTCAATACCCACTATGACCTTTGGTACTGAGACAGATTTCACATTTTATTTGGTACAGTTGGACTTATGAAGAGCCACAGGTGAAGGGGGTGGGGGGAGGGAAGGGGTAGAGCCCTAATCTATCAGGCGGCTGCGGTCCAGGGTGGTTAAATTTGTGGTCAGTGGAGTCGACCGATGTGAGTATAAATCCTGGTTCTGGCACTTTTCACCTGTATGACCTCAATTTCCTCATCTGGTAAGTGGGGACTTGAACGGACCTCAATGGGTTGTCGTAAGGACTGATTGGCCAAGCATGCAACGCCTAGCACAAGCGGTTCTTATATTTTCCACTCCTCTCCTCCAGCATGCAAGGCACCTCGGCTCCGCAATGATGCAGAACGCCGGCGGTGCCCGGGGAGGGGGTGAATCCAAAGGAGGAAACATGAACGGGAACTCGGCTAACAACCCCGGCTGTTGCAGGACCATCGAACCCAAGCAGGGGCCCACGGGGTCTCGGTCCCCAGCTGCAGGACGGGAGCTTCAGGCGCCCGACACAAGCTACGATGCAGGACTTAAGCAACAGCCTCCGCCTCTCTCAGAGGCTGATCTCCAAACCCTCCAACTCCCGGAGCCAGCCCCACTTACCTACCTCCTTGAAAGCTCCGAACCGCTGCTCCAGCCACTGCAGCCCGGGATCTAATCTCCCGGGGCCCAGGCGGGGGCGGGGCGGCTCACCCGGAAGCAGCTCCCCCCCCCGCGGCCCGCCCTCCCCGCATGGAGGCCACGCCCCTGCGGCCCCTCTCCGGGCTTGCTGGTCAGCCCTCCCGCGGCCCCGCCCACGCTTATCGGACTCGGGACCTAGCCAATCAGGTGTGCCGAGAGACTGGACAGCCCGTCCCTGCCCGCCACAGGGCGGGAGGAATGAGCTAGGGAGCCCACCCTGGCGTGTGGGAGGGGCCTCTGCGAGTGACCGCGGCTGGAAGGCTGGCACAGCTCTGGGTTCACCCTAGGTTTGCTTTACAGTTCTTTCCAGCCTCCCGCAGGTTTGGCCCTGGTTCATTTTTTGGTGAAAGAACAATTGGATGTCAAGGACATTAACACCAAATAATGCCTAACACAATAGTTTCATCAATTTTTGCACATTGAGCATTTAAAGTTGTTGAGTTCAGCACCAGATTGTCTTCCAAGTTTTTAGAGAAGATTTATTCCAGCGTGATTACTCAGGGTCTACTCTGTGAAAGGGTTGAGAGACGTGATGAAAAAAGACATGGCATTAGAAAAAAACTCCCAGGGGCATCGCATCTGACTAGGATGGGTACAGTAAAAGATCTGAGCAAAGGTCTATGTTTGGTTGGGTGGGAGAGGACTTGTAGGGGGGCAGGAGGGGTCTGGTGAGGTGTATGGGCAGAAATGAGCCTGGAATGAGCAGATTAGTGGTTGCAAGGAAAGGCAACCACTATTTATTACAACCACTATTTATTACAGGGCGTTGAAAATGTGTATGCTCGTGTGTATATTCCTTCATATATGTATATTTAAAGTTGTTGAGTTCAGCACCAGACTGTCTTCTACGTTTATACACACACACACACACACACACAATTTTTTTGGGGGTACTGATACTTGAACCCAGGGGTGCCTTACCACTGAGCTATATCCCCAATCCTTTTTATATCTTGAGACAGGGTCTCCTTAAGTTACTGAGGGTCTCACTAAGGTTGCCCCAGCTTAGCAAGAACCTGTCTCAAAATAAAAAAATTAAAAAGGTCTGGGGATGTAGCTTAGTGAAAAAGCCTCACTAGATTTTATCCACAGCATGAAATAAATAAAAGATAAAATGGTTTGTGTTCTGTGAATTTTATCTCAATTTTTAAAAAGCTAGTTCACTAAAGGCAATGTGGTATTCTGGATTGGAGCTGTAACAAAAAAGATAGTATTAGAAAAACTGGTGAAATACAAGGACAGTTTGTCCTTTAGTTATTTTTTTTTCTTTCATTTGACAAATGTTCCATGGTTATGTAAGATGTTAATGTGAAAGGAAGCTGGGTGAGGGGTTTGTCAGAACTCTGCATCCTTTGTAGTTTTCTGTAATTCTAAAATTTCTCTAAAAAAGTTTATTTAAAACAAAAGCATCGTCAAAGATGGCAGGGACACAATCTATTTTCATGAATTAGTGCTAAGATCCGGACAAGTCACTTCTAAGGAGGCTCAATTTGCCATTGGTAAAAAAGGGGGTAAGGCTGCAAAAGTAGTTTTGAATGGGTCAGGATAATCTCCTACTCCCCAGATCCAGATCAAAATCTCTGGGCACGAAGTGTTGTGTTTAAAGAAGAAAGATGAGAAGCTTTACCTTAGTTTGGTAACAAACCTTCAAAATCCAGATACCACTACAGGAATGATACAGGTGTGGCTAGGGAAAACTGATCCACTACTCAAAGATTCTTCCCAGTTAAATTCTGTAGTTTTAAATCATAGTCTCCTTTCAGGAGACATTGCTCTTAGAAAGTTAGTTTGGTGAAAAATGGGGCAGGATGAACTAACACCAAATAGGGGAGCTTTTGGGGATTCATTTTTAACTGGAGCATAAAGAGTTTTATGTTGTAAATTACTTATGAACCCAGAGTTCATGCTTTCTAGGCAAGTGCTCAACTACTGAGGTATATTGCCAACCCTTTTTTTGAGTCAAGGTCTTTAATTGCCCAGGCTGGCCTTGAACTTGCAATTCTCACCTCAGCCTCCTGAGCAGCTGGGATTAGATAAATGACACTGTGCCCAGATTGAATTTAATTTAATAGGAAGTGGGGAGTGACTGTAATACAGCCATGTTCTAGAAAGATCCACTTGGCAAGCAAAACACAGGGGAAGCAGATGAGGCAGGAAATTGAATTCAAAGGAAGCCACAGGAATCCAGATGGGACCTGAGGACTTAACCTCTAGTGGTGCTCATGGGAATTAAGAAAGGATGTTTCTACTGTGGAGCAGGAAAAAGCCACTGGACCAAGTAACCACTGGGGTTCTACCTTTGTAAAATATTATTTATAAATTTATGATTTGTAAAACATATAGAGTTGTGGTTGATAAAATGACTGCTTCAGAGTTTTACGACTAATACTTGAGGGCATTTAGAACAGTGCCAGACACAGGATGGGCTCGATAAACGGAGCTGATGAGAATCTATGTACAGGGGCCCAGCAGAGCCACAAAAGGCAGCACTTCTCCCTGAGAACGAGCGGCATCTGCTGGTCATGCAAGGTGATGCAGGATTCCACATTTACAAAAAGTCTGGGCCAGTCCGCACCTCAAATACCGAATGGGGCACGATTAATGGGTCTTCTTGAAACACATATCCTCAAATATATGATTTTTTTTTTTTTTTTTAGATGGGGTCTTGAACTCCTGGACTCAAGAGATCCTCCTACTTCAGCTTCCCAAGTGCTGAGACTATAGGCGCATACCACCATAAGTCAGCTAGTATGTCATCACTTTAAACAAGAATGTTTTTTATTTGTACAAAGCATTATAATCTTTAAAACAGTCTTCGTTTACCAATAAACTTTCCATTGTATTCATTTAACAAATTAATGGTTAAACTATACCATACTACCTTGTCAAATCCCAAACACTCAACTGAGACAAAAAAAAAAAAAAAAATGCATTGAAGCACTGAATGGAAAGAGAAAAGGCTAAGAAAGGCCAACAGAGATATTTTAGAAGAAGTTAAAGGGAATTTTTTGGGTGGGGGTGGGAGATTAAATTCATGAGCACCATCAGATTTCCCTTAAGGTTCAGAGTTTATCAAAGAAAAATATTAAGATGTGAAATTAGAACTAAGAAATATAAGAAACCTGCACTTTGGGATATTAAGCAGGTAATTAGAATTCCTAGATTGTGGATGAAGTTAAGTGAAAAAGGGAAAGAAAGTAGAGAAGAGTCAGAAGAGATAGAAAAAGGGGAAAAAGATGTGCCTAGAGGGAATTAAGTCTGAAATTCATAATGAATTAAAGAATGAAAAAACAAAGACACAGTCTGGGAGATGAAGTGTAAAAAGAGAAAGCCTGGGGGGTTCTGCACCTTCCAGGAGGTGACATTAAATACTAACGCTGTACAGTAGTAAATAGTGAGGGACAACTAACACTATGCCATCTGTTTTAAATAAGTAAGACACTGGCATCCCTGCTGGACTAACTCCAATCAATACTAATTTAAAAGCATATGTGCCCAGAGTGTAGCCATTCTATAGGCTGTATGTCTGCAAGCAATCTAAAAGGACTGAAAGCCAAGTGGGATTAGAGGAAATGAAACTCAAATTAATGCAACTGTCAAGTGATGAGATTACAGAGTTCATTATTCTCCCATAGCTTTTTAGTAGTTTTTTTTTTAAAGCTAAACCATCCTGATCATTCTTAATAAGGTACTATTGCCAAATACTGTTACAAATAGACTGACCAATTTTTCCTGAGCCTTGACTGCCTCTGTAATATGGAACATGGCAGGCAGCACGGAAGTTATTACTTTTGTGGAGGGGCAAAAAGACTTGGGATCAAAAACTACCTAGCCATACATGTAAGTAAACAAGATATATTAATTCGACTGATTAGCCTTTCAGAATCCCTTACAAAAAGTCAAAACCTTCAGACTGATTAAGCAAAACAGAATTCTGTCACTCAGGTGCTCTGAGTCTGGAAAGCGCTGGTTTTGATGATAATTCTAGTCAGTTTTTATTTTGATCTTCTCAGGCAAACATCAAACTTTGCCTGCTCTGCTCAGCAGGGAAAAGCTTTGCATAGACATGTTCCACATTTCAGAGTGGTGGCTTCCACAGTGCCATGGCCTACCCTCCCTATTCAATTGTCTACATCCTCTTCTTCATTCTGTTCTTCTTCTTCCAGTCTTTCCTCATCTTCTTCATTGTCCTCATCCCTGCTCCTGTCTTGCTCTTCTGAGTCTGTTTTTTTGTCTTTGTCCTTCTTCTTTTGCTCTGAAGCTTCCTTCTTACCTTTCTGTTCCCGCCTATAAGCTGTAAGGAAGTAGGAGGGGGATTAGGAGGAGGGTTGGAAGAGGTAGCAGCTAACCCCATGGTAATAACTGGAAAAGCTGTGGCTCAGGAGGAAAAATAGCCTGCCCAGCATCGCAAACAGATCTGAGGTGGTACAAACTGAACTGAATCACATCCAGTATTGGTTTACTGGACTTGTCAAGGACCCATGCTGAAAGCCTCAGGGCCAGGTGAACAGGTCATACAGGATGACCATCTTCTATGCGCTTTAGAAAATGGAAGGATCATTACCTTCCAGAGCTTCTTTTAAGGGGGTAATGAACCGCTGGAACTCCATCTCTTCCATGGCTGAGAGCACATCACTGGCATTGAGCGTCTTGCGTTTCCCTTTCATTGCAAAGTTGTTGGCACTGAAAGAAGAAAGGGCAAGCGCTGTCGGTGGCTGTGAGGGCCTACAGACGTCTGAGATGCATGTGTTGCTGTCTGACACGGGAAAGTCCTTTCCTTCTCTGAACTCAAGGGCTAAAGCAGCGTTGTTTCGTCGTTTAAATTGCCACACAATTAAGGAAGCTGTGAACCTCTCTGCACTGAGATGGGACCCAGTAGGGGTCTGTAGGTTCCAGACCCCAAACTCCGAGCCAGGTCTCCTGCGCCTCCCCTATCCCTAGCGGTGCCCGGCTCACCAGGATGTGGCGTACAGCACGAAGACACTGGCGGCGCGGGAGATGGCGCTCCGGGCCTCCTTGGAGATGTTGACACCGTCCGGGAGCTGTGGGGGGAGTGGGGGTGAGCAACACTGCCAGCCCGGGACCTGCTTCCCTCCTGCCCGCTCGTCCGCCCCCGACCCAGCAGCTCACCGCCTCTTTAATGATCCTGGTGATGACAGCATTGGGCAGGTTTAAGTCCTCTGGCCTCTCCGCCATTGCCACGGCCGGGGCCGAAGCTGCTTCAGCCTCAGGCCTCTTCTTCAGGCAGCTGCCGCGTCCGGACTTCCCGCGTCGCTACGGTATGACCCTTCCAGGCTTCCGTTCCATCCCACGTTGCCCACACTACGTCCCACAGTGCCCCGCGCGTCATAACCGCTCTCGGGCCCCAGCCCCGCCTCTATCTCAAATCGTTGGTGCTTCTGAAGTTTCCACACTACAGAGATTTTGGCCCGCCAGGGCTTCCGTCCCATCCCGCGGTGCTCGTTTCTCTCCTTATTTCATCACCACGTCTGGGAACTTTCTCATGAACTTAAGTGTGGCTCACTGAAGCTTCCGTCCGTTCCCCATCATGCTCTGTGCCGCTGCTAGGCGACGGTACGGCCAAGCAGTTAGCGTGGGGGAAGGCCAGGAATGAGCCTATTGGGCGGGGCTACTTTGGTCGGAGGCGGGGCTTGGCGGGCGGGGCTACGGCCTCGCGGCGTTGCCTGCGCACGTCGTAGCCGGGGGTTCAGAATCTTAACGGTTTGTGGTCAGCTTTGGTCTCAGGAAGCGATGGATGGCGTTCTGGGGTCAGTCTCTCGCTAATGATGTTTTCCCTTGTTCGGAAGGAAGCGGGAAATTTTTTCAACTCTACGGGAGCGGATGTCTGTTCTTAATATTTTCTCCCCTCACAAGTTTGTAATAATAGTAAAAGATAAGTCTTACATTTTTTCTTGCCCCAACGAGAATTGTTTTGCCAGCCCAGTACTGATGCTGGCGATGTCGCGATACCCTGATTAGACCCCGGTGCACCCTTCCGACTGGGCAGGAAACGAGCGCCCAGCTGCCTATAAGAATAATACAACATCAAAAGCAACCCTTTAAAATCGTATTTAATTTTTAGTTCATTAAATTGTTAATCGTACATCTTTCCCTGTCAAAATCGTTACCAAGGTTTTGCAGTGGCGTTTTAAGTTTTATTATTTTCATATTAAATAGGTAAAAACTCTCACTCCCACTGAGAACTAATGCTGCTTTTTTTTTTTTTTCTGGAAACACATTGTCTCGAGACTTTTTTTTAAATTTTTTGATGTAGACATGATTACAGAGAAGAATTTCCCTATTAGGAGAAAAACAACAGAGCAAATGTGATGATAAAGGCAACTGGAACTGCTTCCCTTAGAGACTATTGGGACTGGTGGGGGAACTCTGCACTTGGATAGAACACGCTTGGTTTAAAGACATCAAAAGCTGCTCAGCTCCAGCCAGTTGCTGTCTAGTTGGAACTGGGTCTAGTGTTGTCAGATGTTTTGATCTCTAAGAGGAACCAGAAGTCTGGACATTATGGACTATTTCAGTTTTAAAATACTGGTTCAAAGTGCCAACCAAACTAAACAAGTCATAGGCTAGGTGTAATCCCAGGCCAACAGTTTGCTATCTTTGATCTAAATTAGAAGTTGTTTAGGATAGGGAGTTTGTTAAAATATTTGTACCCTTTCTTTTTCTCCTTCATTAATCATTAGATGTCACCATCTACAGAAAGCTTTATCAGTTTACAATCAATGAAGTCACAGAAATGCTTTAGATGGCTCAAACCTTTGGAATTTATGCTTCATTTTTCAATATGCTATAATTCCCATGCAGACAGATAAAATACCATCGAAGAATGGCTGACAGATAAAATACCAGCAAGGAATGGCTTTGCTCAAATAACAACGGTAGGTTTACAGCTACTTCCGAAGCCTTTAGCTTTTTATTTACTGACTATGTCCTACCTAAATGCCAGACCTTTTAATATCTATCAACTAATTTTTCATAATGACTGTGAAACAGGCTATCCTCACTTTACAGGAAACTGAGGCTCAGATTGATTAAGTCCAAAGACACTCAGCTATTAAATGTCCAGTTAGGAGCGCTTCTGAAGTCAGTCTTTTTCCCTTCTCTTCCCTTCCCTGGAATTGAACCCAGGGGTGCTTTGCTACTGAGTGTCATCTCCAGCACCCCCCCCCCCCCCCGCCCCTTTTAATTTGAGACACTGTTTTGCTAAATTGCTGAAGCTGGCTTGGAATTTGAGATCCTCCTGCCTCAGCCTCCCAAGTAGCTGGGATTACAGGCATAGGCCACCACGCATGGATGAAGTTGATTTGCTTTCAAACTCTTACTTTTGAACTCATGCTGAGATACTTTCATGCTTGCTTGTTACTGAATCCTAAATTATCTTGTGACCACTATTTACCTATAGAGGTTCAATAGAAATATTTTATGATTTGAATGCAAATTGACTACATAACTAATGTGTAATATGCCCTAATCATGTGGTTGTTGATTATCCAGTGGGCTACAAAGCTGCAGGATTAGTCTTTGTCCTAAGCCATGGATTGGCCAGATGAGAGTCAATGGGATGAAACCACCTGCAACATGGCTATTTGTCAGCATCCGCAATGCTGGGCAGCTCTCCGCAGGATTGAGAGGGGCCATCCTCGAATCCTGGGCTCACCCTGCAAAACTTTTCTGAATATTGAAGGTGAATTGGCTAACCCCTGTCTTTTTCCTGAAGAGGTCCTTAAAGGGTTAATGTTTGACCACCTTTCTCCAACATGTTACATTTTTCTTCTGGTCTGCTTTCTCAGAGAAACTCCCAGTGCTCACCATTGTAAACATCTCAGATTCCTGCCTCCAGGCCAAGAGATGTGCTCATCAAGAATTGTCAAAATTTACCTTCACCAAGGCTCATCCTTTATTGTCTCAGTGCTCAAAGATTGATGCCAAATTCCAAGGCAGGTAAATTACATGGATTCTTCCTTTAACCAACTGTTGTCTCAAAATTCTAGATTGTGGGGATGCTGGGGATGTAGCTCAGTGATGGAGTTGTTGCCTTATATGTACAAGGTCCTGGGTTCAATCCTCATCACTGAAAAGAAATTCTAGGTTGTGATTTCCCTTGCCCATGTAGTGGGTTTCGAGAAAGCTGGATTAAAAAGAAAGTATTAATTTGGTTTAAGAAGTGGTGAGTAGGCGATGGGAAACAAAGAGCATTTTTGCTTCTGTTTTGGGAGTTGGCTAATTTGTGGCTGTATTGGTTTGTACTTCATTACAAAGTACCATAGACTGTGTGGTTTAAACAGTGAATTGATTTTCTCACCGTTCTGGAGGCTGGAAGTTTGAGATTAAGGTGTCAGCAGGTTTGATTTCTTTTGAGACCTCTTTTCTTAGCTTGTAGAGATGGCTGTCTTCTCCTGTGTCTTCAGTGGTTTCCGTGTGTGTATGTGTGTGTGTCCCCTAATCTTGTTGTATAAGCATAACTGTCAGATTGGATTAGGGCCCACCATATGACCTCAATTTTCCTTCATTACCCTTTTTTTTTTTTTTTGGTACCAGGGATCAAACTCAGGGGCACTTAACCATTGAATTGCATCCCCAGCCCTTTTTATTTTTAATTTTGAGACAGAATCTTATTAAATTGTTTAGGGCCTTGCTAAGTTGCTGAGGTTGGGTTTAAATTTGAAATCTTCTTGCCTCAGCCTCTCAAATTGCCTAGATTTTTCACCATGACTGACTTCATTATCTTTTTAAAGACCCTCCCTCCAAATATAATCACATTCTGAAGTATTTGGGTTAGGACTTAAACAGATAAACCTTGGGAGACACAGTTCAGCTTCTGTAGGTCATCAGGAAATGGGGTCTACACATACTGTCATTCTTACTTTTTATTTTTAGGCATGGAACTTTTTATAAGCTCCTGGAGATAGAAAAATTGGCTTTTCTTTTTGGCTCACCTACAAAGTAAGCACCCAATCTTGTTAATATATGAAATCAAGCGACAAGTATCTGTGGAAAACAATAACTTTTAAAATACAATGACCCTGTAGCCTGGAATCCAAGCACTAATGTTGGCCCTTAACAGTGATTTCTTTTTTCCTGTTCCAAGTAAGCAGTCCCTGTTGATTTTTCTTAGGCTAACGGTGAAATAGGAAAAGGTCAGACTACTTTCAGGTTCTCTAGGACTTGAGCCCTGGGAAGAAGGCAGCATCTTCCAGCCAGGACCTGCAGTGTGTTTCACAGACACACAACATACTTTCTCTCCTGCCATGCCCAGGTGTGCAATGTGCTGGTAGAGAGTGGCCTCTTCCAGTCAGTTCGAGGTTTCCTTGCATTATGGTTGGATGTGGAATATCCCTCAAAGACTCATATGTTGAAGGCTTTGTCCTCATGATAGCAGTGTTCAGAGGTAGTGTTCAGAGGTAGGGCTTTGGGAAAGTAATTGGAAGATGAGAACTAGAACCTCATCAGTGTGTTAATCCATTGATTGGTGGCTGACTGGGCTATTAGGAGGTGGGGAAAACCGTAGGAGGTGGATCTAGTCAAAGGGAGTGGTTCACTGGGGGTGTGCCCTGGGCAGCTATATCTTATCTCCAGTCCCTTCCCCTCTCTCTACTTCTGGCTGCCAGGAGATGAGCGGCTTGGCCTTACTGTATCCTGCCATCATGATGATCTGCCTCATCATAGGCCTAGAGCTATGGAGCCAGACTACCTGAAAGTAGTCTGACCTGAGACCTCTGACTCCTCTTGCTCACAGTGCCTCTTCATTTACAGTAGATAGACGAAACCTGCTCATTGTGGAGCCTCTTTACTATCTGATTCTTCCAGTCATTGAGTCCTCTCTTCTCTGACACCAACTCTGCCTCAGAGCCATACTGATTTTCTAATTGTGCTTTTCTGCAACTGACATCCAACTTAAAAGCCCTCTTTCTTTTTTTTTTTATGTTTATTTTTTTAGGTGTGGATGGACACAATACCTTTATTTAATTTATTTATTTTTATGTGGTGCTAAGGATTGAACCCAAGGCCTCACAGTGCTCTAGGCAAGCACGTGCTACAGACCCAGCCCCTAAAGGCCCTCTTTCTAATGAAGACTGCTTCATTAAGTCCCTGGTGTGGCCTATATATGGCCCTGTGAGAGCCTATCTTCCTGATGGACCTTGTCTCTCTCATGTTTCTCTCTTTCTTTTTAAGTAGGTTCCAGCCGCGTTGTTGTTTCTGTTTCTCAAATACTTCACACTGCCTGCCTCAGGGCTCATAGACCCACTGTTTCCTTTGGGTGGAATAGTTTCCCCTAGAGTAGAAATATCATCCATCAAACAATAACTCAAATTACCTCTCTTCCTCTCAGCTGGGTAATCTCTATTCTATTTTCTGTCTCTTTGAATTTGCTTATTCTAGGTAGTTCATGTAAGTGGAATCATTTAGTATCTGTATTTTTGTATTTGTCTTCTTTCACTTGGCACAGTGTTTTCAAGGTTCATTTATATTGTACCATCTATCAGAATTTCAGGGTTTTTTTTTTTTTTTTTTTTGATACTTGGGATTGAACCCAGAGACACACCAGCCAGTTCTTTTAGTTTTTTATTTTGAGACAGGGTCTTTCTAAATTCTCAAGGCTGGCCTCCAACTAGAATCCTCCTGCCTTAGCCTCCTGGGTAGCTTGGATTATAGACATGTTGTGCCACCAGATGTGGCCTAGAATTTCATTACTTTTCAAAGAGTGTGAGAGACACAGGCTATGAATTTAGTTTGATGCAACAAACAATTGAAGTATTTGCAGTGTGCAATGTCTGTTAAGAGCCTCTACATTCATTTGGTTAGTATTAAACCCTAGGTTTCCCATAGATAAGTAGAAGGGTTTCTCTCACAGCTCTATTGTATCATTCCAATGTCTTTTGTGTCTCTGTTTCATGTTTGAAATTAATTTTTTAGGCATCGGAAGGGTTTACCTGACAAAAGATTGATCAGCTCTGCTAAGAGATCTTCCAAAGTAGGTATAAACTAAAAAGGTGCTTTCCTCAACATTTTCTTTTTATCAGTGGGAATATTTTATTGCTTTTAACGTTATTTTTCAGGATGACTGCAATCTCAACAATAATAATAACGATAATAACTGTCTAGTTTGGGGCCCTTATTATATGCTGGGCCTGATGCTAATGACTTTATATGTTATATTGTCTTCAGGAATCCTAGGCACAAGTGGGATTGATATGTGGAGATGTGGTGTAGGTGAGAATTTTCTGTCTCTATCCTGCGTAGGTTCAGCTTCTAACATAAAGATTAGCATCTCATAGTCAGGGTTGTTTGAACAGTAAAATGTCAGACCTAAAATGGGCTTTAAGGTCATCTAATCTGATGATTTTCAGACTTTTAAAAGTTTAATATGTGGTAAAAAATAAATTTTGCAATGAAAGTTTCCTGGAGTAATTCTTACTCCAGATGTGTATGTGAGAGTGCTGATATTTTCTTTTCTATTCTATTTAATTTTTAAACAATTTGGGCTTTGATTAACCAAATTTGATTGTATGACCTATGAATAATTGTAGTTATAGTTTAAAAAACGTTATGGTCTGTCTCATATATCTTATAGGTAAGGAAACTGAATTCTAAATGGGAAGTGTGTTGCTGAAGCAGTTGGCTAGTAAGAGGAAAATTAATGCAAAACTAGAACTTTAGGAAGAAAGACCCTTCCACTTGCATGAAGTTTAAAGTCCTACTGGATGCCTTTTATTATTATTTTTTCATGAGATGTGTTTCTATTCAGTGTCTTGTGGTGGTTAATGTAAGGCACTAAGAGATGGTAGATGGTTTGAATGAATAAATCATTTTACCTCTAACCTCTTTAGAATAAGAGAGTTAGGTTTAATTATTTCTAAATTAATTATATTAATAGGTATACATGAACATGAATCTAAATTCAAAAGGCATTAAGGAGCTTATTATGAAAAGGATTCTCCTTTTTTCCCCTGAAGCCAACCAGTTCATTTTCTCAGGGCAACCTTATTTTTAATTTTTTTTGAGGGAGTATATATCTTAGAAGGAATAGGTATCAGATGATTAATAAGGTTTCCTTGAGCCCCAGTGTTGTAGGATCCTAAATCACTAGATGTGAGAAGAATTAATACTTTTTTTGTAGATGCCTCTAATTGTAGACAGGGTATAAATAAAAGTAGAAAATTTGGTTCTGTGTGCACTAGTTCTCTCCATGTTCCCCAAATGCTGATGGTATTATCTGCAGGGGATCTCAGTCTTAGGAGTGGAGAAGGAAGCGTGAGTGGTGTTCCTCTAAGTAAACTTCAAGGCACCCTCAAGGGGATAGTGTTGGAAGTTGCTAAATTCCACTCTAATGTCACAGGGAAGCAGGGAGATTATTCATTTAAAGATGCTTGCAATCAGTGGATGTGAAACCGATGTGATTCTGCAATCTGTATACGGGGTAAAAATGGGAGTTCATAACCCACTTGAATCAAAGTGTGAAATATGATATGTCAAAAACTATGTAATGTTTTGAACAACCAACAATAAAAATTAAAAAAAAATAAAGATGCTTACAGAGGACCTGTACTGAAACCTGGTGAAGTAGTTTGTTTTGTGGAAGAATATTATGAAGATATTTGGGGAATGGGAAATGTCTTTTTATCATCTTCTGGGCTGCAGAACTTTTTAGTTACCATGGTAATTCAGCCCTTAGTCTGGTACTGAATACAGGCAGGAGCCCGGCAACTCAACCATACGTAGCCTTTATATCCTTCTTTTAGCTTCCAGTGTTAAATTTGAATGAGACAAAACTTCCTTGTCCTGAAGGTGTCAGAAATATGGTTGTAATCTGGATTCCAGAACCAGAGAAGAATGTGAGGTGAGTATCAGGTTAGAACTTGGTGTACCTTTGATATTTGTGTTTTACAAATCCCTGAATCCTCTGCAGGCCTCTTTTTTGTGATTTCCCTTTTAGCTACTTCATTGCAAGTAGTGGGAGAACAGCAGAGAAGGTGATTGTGGTCTCTTGCTTCTGCCTCTTACTACACTGGAGTTGTTTTATGCGGTGAAGCTTCTCTTTATCAAATTTTACTTGACAGTAAATAGCATACAATATAGGGTCTAGTTTATTTGTGTGGTTTGATTAAAGATTAAAATGCTTTCTATTAGTGTTTCTTATTAGCTCTCAGCAACTCATAAAATCACTCAGTGAAGCATAGGAACCTCTGATCTCCACCCTAAGGCCTAGGATAGTGGTACAAAATGAATACCATATAGGACCTGTATACAAAGCAGAGCAAGACAAAGATCATTTGGTGAAAGTTCAAAGATTTGCTAGTGTTGACAACCGTGGGGATATATTTGTGATCTCTGAGGCTTTCGGATTCTTAAGTGATTGTTTGAATTAGTTCCTTTCCTTTCTTCTTTTTGTGGTACTGGGGATCAAACCCAGGGCCTTATGCATTCGAGAAAAGCACTTCCTTGAGCCACACCTCAAGCCCTGAAATATAGGGCTAGTAGGCAGCTCCATGAGACAATCAGAAGCCAGGGCTCCTTGTAGCTTTCGGGCCACTCTCTTTGCCCCATGGCTTCTGTCTTCCAAGATGCTTCATAGGTGCCCTTTAAGGTCTAATTTTAAGGTCTAGCATGTCCATTTCCCAGACAAGAAGGAGGAAAGAGAATAGAGCAAGAAATACTTTTTGAGTTCCTTCTCTGGCTTCGCAGCGAGAATCCAGTGAAGAATCTTATAGATTTGGTCCCTGTCCTCCTTGAGCCATATGGAGGAGTCAAACATCACAAACATGCATATATCATTTCTAATTTATATTCACTATAAAAGTAAATTACTAGGTTGTGGGAATGTTGGGGACCTAATTTAGATGTGTGAGTGAGGAGTCTTTTTAGCAATGGATACTTTTGAGCTCCCAACTAGCCGTCTTTGAGTACTTACCAGAAAGGTAGAATTTTCATTATTCATAGTGACCTGGGTGCTTCGGCTTAAGATGTCTGAGAAAAAGTGTGGTTATTCTTATTTCAAGCTTAGCTAAGAAGACACATACTTTCCCCAGCCAGGATGGGAAGGAGGAAAGAAAGAACTCGGCAGTGGTGAGTTTGATTTTTGTCCCAACCCTCATGACGTTACTCTGTATGGTTTATTTTTGTCTTCTTTTCTAGTCTCCCCGACCCTCACCTTTGTTTTCTCTCTGAATGAACAGAATCTGCAGAAGAAAACCCTTCTTTAGGAATATTTACCAAACTTCTTCAGACTCCTTTTCCTAAGTGTTCCCTGTAGGGAAGTAAAAGAGCTCCTTGAAGAGGTGACAGGAGGATCTGTTGGGTAGTCAGGGGAACTTATTGGTTAGTTAAAAACTGAGCCAAAATGTGATGGAATAAAATTCCAGTGGTCCAGGAGTTAAAAGACCTGGGCTTCCAACTCTAATTCTACCACTTATGGGTAAATGCGGCATTGAGTAAGTCGCAGAGTCATAGATCACTGTGTCCAGGAGCGTACTGTCTTGGTCCATTTAGTCATCGTTGACATCCCTGTGCCTGGCACATAGATAGACAATACTTATTTATTAGTTTGATGAATGAGTAAATTATGACCTCTTTGGAAAATCAAAACAATGAAAACAATTAAGCTCTGTATGATCCAAGTACAATAATGGGGTTGAGAGCCTGTGAGGGGAGAATGGAGTGACCCTCATGGTGGAGAGGATGTGGGAATGGCTAGAATGGGACTGGAAACAAGGAGTTTCACATGTCAGGCTGGAATATTGCTGGAAGAAATGGGCTCAAAGAGAGTTCTTTAGAGAGTTCCTTCTGTTTTTTTTTTTTTTTCTCTTGCAGGAAAATAAGCCACCTCTGGATCACTCTGAAAGGAAGCATACAGAGATGCAGCTGAGATTTCCAGATGTGATAGTGCCGCCCCCCTCCCCAGTACACTCTTTTGAATCCATACCTGGCTGGAGCAAATTTGCCATGCTGCCTGAGGATCTACTAAAGGAGTGAGTGTCATGGAGGCCTGGGGGAGAAAAGAGTCCCTGCTTGTCACTGAAGCTAAGAAGAACCTAAGCATGTGCTCTTTCTGAGTAGGACAGGGAGCAAAGTGTTCTCCTGTTTGCTTACTGAATTATTAGTTTCATCAACAGGTAATGATGACAGTAATCAACTGCCACCATTTACCAAGCACCTGCCATCTACCAGCCTCTGGGCTAAGTTCATTACCTGACTCTCATTTAAACCCCCACAGGAGGCACTAGATGAATTATGGATAAGTGGGAGGCAAAATGGTATATGTGGTTTGGAATGTGACAGGCTTTGGAGTCTGTATGGAAACTGACTTGGTAAATTTTGGTAATTTATTTCATTTCTTTGAGCTTTGTTTTCTTTGTATGCAAAATGGGTATTATAATACCTGTCTTCCGGGTGTTGTAAGGATTCAGTGGTATAATGCATATGAGCCTGATGTAGGGCAAATACTTAATGAACACAGCTGTGGTTATCACAGAAGCATCTGAAAGGTGTTACCGAATGAGTCCCTGTTGGCACAGACCTTTCCAGAAGCAAAGAGGAAATGTCTTGGGATTTAGAGCCCATTATACTCTTCCTTGTCAGTGGCACAGACTGGGAAGAGCTGCTGCTGACTGACTGTCTCTGTCCTCTTCAGCCTTTTATCAGATGGAGGGAAAACCATGCCTTGTCCGGAGATGAAGATACAATTGGCCATGATGAAAAAGAAGCTTCCCCTGGAAAAGAACCGACCCGAGAGAGCACTTTCTTCTAAGATGTTTCTGACTATACACCGCCTCACCCTGCAAGTAAGAGCCATGGCGCCCCAGAAGGAGAGGCCTGCATGAAAATCAAAGTCGTGTCCTCCTTTCTCTGCTGCCTTTGCTCTTTCACCTGTGTCCCAGAAGTCTGGGCTCTATGTAGGTGGATTCCAGTGTGTGTGGGGGGTAATTGAGAAGAGCATGTTCTGTTTCCCACGCCTTTCTCTTCCTTGCCACCCCCACCCCCCACCCCCCCGCCATGCTATGTAGCAGAACACTGGGTTCTCAAATGTGCTCGTTGACTAGATGAAAAAATGCATTGGGGGAAAGGGAAGGAACCACAGCAGAGCTTTTCTTCTTCTCCTTCCTCTAGACACCAACATTAAGATATTCTGAACATTTGAAGAAATTACATTGTAACCTGCAGGGAGAAGGTAAATTTTTTGTTACTGCTGGATTTCCAGGTACTGCTTCCCCTCAGCCCACATATCTCTTACTTTAACTTGGTCCCAATTCAGTTACGTTGGTTGTTAACAGTCACATGGGGTTACATGTAGAACTCAGGAAACTGTTTTCAGGAAGGAGCCATCCAGAGGGGGTGAGAGAGTCACTGTAGTGGGGTGGGGAGGTCAGAGCAGGTGGCTAGAGAGGCTGGGGACTGTTGGTGAGAAATGTAATCTAATTGTTGGTTCTCTGGTCACTAGATTACAGAAAGCAGCAGCAACATCATCAGCAGCAGAAGAAGAAGAAAAAGAAGAAGAAGAGGAAGGTGAAAACACCTACTAAGAAAAAGGTGGGGTGACAGTGAGGCATTTGCTGGCCGGGAGAAGTTAGTTCAAGCTGGAATGGAGGGAGTGTCTGCAAGGAGGGATTCTGCCTGTCCGCTTTCTGGTTGTGAAAGTAACATTCCTATCTGGTTGAAGGTGTTAAGTTCCTTCTTTTCAACTCCTTTTGCAAAAGTTTTCTTTACTTTCCAAAGTCCTAATTCAGTTCCTCCTTATATGGGTTTCAGGAGGCTACAGAGAAAGCCACGAGTGACCCAGGGAGCCAGACAACTGCACAGAAGCATTCCATTTCCATCGATCTTAATCGTCTCCATGGTAAGGAGAACACGTGCTCGGTTGAGTGATGGAATCCCAGGACGTAGCTGAGGCCAGAAAAGTGAACACATTTTGTCATTTTGAGACCTGCCTTTGTCAGGCACTTGGAACTGAAATGCTTAGTCTGGCTGGCTGGTCTACACATCATCCTTCCATCAAGTATTTACTAAGATGTCTGCTTCACGTGGGGATTTGAGAGCTGACTATGAGCATGAGTTATGGTCATTTTTTTCCTCAGATCCTATCTTAGAAAAGACTGGCTTGAGGATCAAAGGTGGGCACAAGCCCACGTTATCAACAAAATCCTTGAGAATTTATTGGCCAACAAGGCAGGGAATGGCTGGGGTTCCTCACAAAGGCCCCTGGAGAATCCTAAGGAAGCAGAACTCCAGGGCCCTCTGGCTTCCTTGTAATAGGCTGGAGAGTTGAGGAACCTCGGGCTGAAAGCAGCACATCCAGGAGGCAGCAGCCAGTTCCCAACAGGCAGCCCTTCCCTCTACTCTTCATGCTGGAGGCAGGAATGGATATCTCCCCCTTTGGAGCCTTTATCTTGTCTGACCAGAGGGATATGGTTAACCCTGTCCCTCTGACATTTCTTAGCTTGAGTGGAGAGTGGGAGGGAGGGTGAAAGTCTCCCCGTAAACCTTGTAAGACTATTCTGCTCTACTCAGACTGGACCTTGCTGCCTCTAACTTGAAAACAACTGTTTAATCATGAGAGTTCATTGTCTAATCATGGGGCACTGAGAGGGCTCAGGTGAGATGTCTCCTGAGAAGGATGCTGCCCTTGCTTTACTTCCCATCCCACTGTACTCTCTGATATCAATGATGTCCTCTAACCCAAAGATCCAAGAAGATTTTTAAGCTTCACATGGAAGGTAGAAGAATCAGGGCTGTAGCCCAGGGTGGGAGGTAACTTGTCCAAGGTTAGTGTCCTATTCAGAATGATCACTGCCTCTCCCCCGAATTCCATTCTGGTGCCCTGCCCTGCCATGCCCACCACTTGCCCCCTCTTCCTAATGCCTCCAATAGGAGCCGTTTGTCTTGGGTGACCATTTTGAGTCATGTTCTTAGAGCAGTGACCTGTCTTCACTGAGTTGAAAAGGGCTTTACAGAAGAGATTTTTAATTGGATCTTAAATAGGTTTGGGAGTTTTCCCAATGTGAAAAAGAACTCCTGGAAGTGAGACTACCTTGTACAAAGGCACCTTGGAGGAGCATGGCTACTCAGAGAACATTCGGAAGTTCTCTTTGGCTGTAGTATTTAAAGGAGAGTGGTAGATCAGGCTAAAGAGGTGGGTAGGGGCTTATGTAGATTGAAAAGGCATTCAGCCTTTATACTTCAGGGTACTGGTCTTCACCTTTACCACACACTGAAACCAACTGGTAAGTTTTAAAAACTCTCAACACCCAGGTTATACCCCAGACAGATCAGAATTTCTGGTGCTGGGAACCAGGCCTCACTGTCTTTTAAAGCTCCTCGGCGCTTCCAGTGTGTAGCTACAGTGAGAAGCAGAACTGGTAGGAGCCTGCCAAAGGGCTATCTTTAGCACACCTCTGCTGGAAGCTTGGAAGATGTTTGTTTAGAGAAGGGGGGATTCAGAAAGGAAAGAACGTATGCATTCAGGGACTAGTTGAGGGAAACGGCCAATGCCAAAGAAACATAAAGCAAGAGACTTTTATTTTTATTTATTATTTTTTTGGTTTTTGTTTGTTAGAAGTCATTGTGGGCCAAGAAGGTGAATCACGTTCTAGTAAGAGTATTCATAAACTGTGAAAGGTGGGGCTACTGTTTCTTTGCTGCTATTGTGTGTAGATAAGTACCACTTAGGTTTCTTGGAGGAATTCTGGGTCTTTTAACACAATTTTTCTGTAATTCTGTAATAGCTGTAGTTATAGCCCTAGTTAAATATAATTACAAATAGAATTCATAAGGCCTTACACAATGTATGCATATTTAAATAGCATATGATAAGCATGCACAATTTTATATGTTAATTAAAAAAAAATCGGAGATTTAGAAAATGGCCAATGCCAAAAAGAAAGCCTAACTCTCTTTCATGGAAGCTTGGAAGATGTTTGTTTAGAGAAATCATCAGGGTTTGTTCTTGTCTGGAATGGGGAGTCACTTATAGACCATGGGTCAATTAGAAGCCCAACAATGAGATATGCGATGCCGATAAGGAGACTGAATTGACTGTGTGGTCTATAGGTCATAGAGCTTGGCTAGGTCAGGAGAGTGACATGAAATAGTAACAGTAAATGGAGAAAAAAGGAACAACTTTGAAAAAGGTGAATTTCCAACAAACTGTATAAGGTCCCGGTTTATGTATAACCAACCTGAAGCACAAGCCAAAGTGATTTGCTATTTTTTCTCTCCTTCCTCTTTTTTTTTTTTTTTTAGGCTCCAGAGGTAGAATCACGCATGCTAGGCAAGTGCTCTACCATGTTGTTTGAGCTTATTGACAACATAGAAATCACTTTTGTAGGTGATGGGACTAGAACTAAAATAGTGTGACTTCTGCTACCTTTTATTGGTCAAAGAAGTCAGAGGTTGGACCTCTCTAAGTCAGAGGTCCAACCCAAATTCAGAGGAGTGGAAATAGACTGGATCCCTTGATGGAAGAAACTGCATGTTCATATGGGATGGGAGGAGTTGTTGGCAGCCATCTTTGGAGGCAGTCTGCCTTTAGTTGACTGCTGGGAACACAGAGAAGTGGGTTCTGGCTTCATCTGGTCATTCCAGGGGGCAAAGAATGTGTGTAACTTCTCTTCATTCCTAGGAGGTGGGTCTCTGTCCCAATTTCTCCAAGAAAAGAACCTTTTAGAAAAGTCCTTTTAGTTTTCTTATACCTACCCAGTGAATTTTCGGATTCCATAAGGAGATTAAAGATGGATGATTTGAAGAACTTCCTGAATTTCCTCACCACTATGGGAAGTAAGTTATTAGGGTGGAGGAATTTTAGTAAGTGACTGAGGATAGTGAGAACTGAACCTGTGTTAATTAAAATGGCTTGGGGACACAGTCCTCATCCTTTAGAGTGGTCCTGAAGACACCCCACCCCTTTCTTTTCTGTGCTCCAGTTTCACAGTTTTTTGGGAGAAGGTTACATGTGCAATTAATGGCTGGGTCTTCTTTTAGGTCCTGAAATATCTGAGGCAGAAGCCACTAACAAGGACGTTAGTGCTCCAGAGGAGGCTGTTCTGGAAGGTCCAGTTGCCAGTGGACAAAACATTTCAGGACAAATGACTGGAGAAAGCTGGAACCCTGAGTTCAAACTACTGAGGATTCTTCAGCCCACTGATGACGAGAATGAGAAGAACCAGCCCTCTGGGGCACAGAGTCAGAAGTCTCTGCAGACATAAGCTGAAGGCATCACTTAGGCCAGCCTTATCAGATACCTCAGATACCAGGTGTCTGAGGACAGTGACCTTTGACATAGGGTAGAAAAAAGAGGGGAATTCTGTTCCAGAGGCTTCACCAGGGCCTGAGTTTAGAGATTTTTCATTTACTTCTATTGGCCTCTAAAATATGTGAGGGAGAAGAAGCCCTTTTAAACGTAGGTGACTTCTCCATTGGGAAGGTCCATTTAAACGTAGGTGACTTCTCCATTGGGAAGAATAATTTTAATGATTAAACACAACTGCTTCTCAATCAGAAGACTCATTCTCTGTTTCTTAGTGTCTGTTTTTTGGGTTACTCTTATATTTTCTTTGAAACTCTGAAAGGTTTCCAGTTGAGGAAGCTGAATTTGGCCTATGTGCACCCCCATGATAGTTCTATATATCCCCCACATTCTCTGGAAATTGTTTACTTTGTAGATTGGGTCCATAGCGTTATTAATACTCACTGGGTCCTTGTGTATGTGGTACTGGGTATTCCTTGGAAGAGCTTATCACTTCAGTTTCTAAGGAATTGAGTCTACAGGGAAGTTTCAAGAATACTCAAAGATTTAGAATCCCAGAGCCTCAGGAGTCCTATAGTTCAGTTTTTTAGATGGATTTTCTTTTCATGTTTCAGTCCTTAAAAAACTTTTATATTTAGTAGAATTTCAGAGCTGCATAAAGGTAAAGAGAATAATATCATGGAACTCTCATGTTCATGGTACCTGAAACATGGTCAGGAAAGGCTCTTGAGCTGCCGAATGCTATAGAAAAGCCTGCACTGACCCTTTTCTGGTCATATTGCTCCTTATGGAGAGAGAAGTCAGCAGGGGCACAGGCACAGGTTCCTCATGGAGACTGTATCTCTTCTTGAATTTTGCACCTGGCATCTGGAACCCTAAAATTCCCTGCCCAGATGGCCTCACCCCTACTTCTGTGACCTGTGTAGTACTCTTTCCTGGGTCCACTCTCCCCAGGGCAGCCTGCCCTGTCAGTGTGAATACCGCTGGGTTTGAAGTAGCAGAGAGGAAGCTGTTTAAAGGGGGATGGGCCTACAGCTTGGACATGGAGACAGGGTTCTCTGTCTGTGGGGTTCTTCCCAATACAAGTGAGAGCTGGAATGAGAAGGGTGGACCATGGATAGTGGCTGGTTCTTCTCATGCTGCATTTCAGGTGTCGAATCTCAAAGAATCTGTGAATTCTGAATGAACCTGGCTTTTTGGGTCACAAAGGTATACTGGTCAAGGTGGGAGAATAGAATATGTTTATTTTAACAATTTGTAGCTTGATTTATAAGTATTTTTAAAAAAATATTTTCAGGGCTAGGGTTGTGGCTCAGTGGTAGAGTGCTTGCCTAGCACGTGCCGTGCGAGGCCCTAGGTTCGATCCTCAGCACTACATAAAAAAATAAAATAAAGGTATAAAAAATTTTCGGTTGTAGATAAAATACCTTTATTTTATTTATTTTTATGTGGTGCTGAGGATAAAACTCAGTGCCTCACATGTACTAGGCAAACACTCTACCATTAAGCTACAACCCCAGCCCCCATTTATAAGTTTTAAATGTATACAAATGGTTAGTAGACTTGATTTTGTATTTTTTTGGAAGGGGGTAGTGGGGAATGAACTCAGGGGCACTCAACCACTGAGCCACATCCCTAGCCCTATTTTGTATTTTATTTAGAGACAGGGTCTCACTGAGTTGCTTAGCATCTTGCTTTTGCTGAGGCTGGCTTTGAATTCACAATTCTCCTGCTTCAGCCTCCTGAGCCGCAGGGATTACAGGCATGTGCCACTGCACCCAGCTTTGATTTTGTATTCTTATCCTGAGTCTTGTCATAGGTAGGGTTGGGCCTGCACGTATCATTGTCTGGGAGAAATTTTAAGGAAGGAGAATTTAACACTACTATTTAGAGGTTATTAGCTATCTGAGATTTAAAAAAAAAATTTATTTTTATTTTTTGGTGCTGAGGATCAAACTCAGGGCCTCACACACCATAAGCAAGAATTCTACCACTGAACTGTGTCCGAAGCCCTGTATTGCGTTTTAAAGGTGAGATCAGTGAGGCTAAGAGAGAATGTGACTTTACTGAGGTCATCATCTGGGAAGTGGTAGAGCTGGGTGACTTGAATCTGGGATGCCTAGTACCAGGACAGAGCTCCCTTCAGCATGCTACTTCTCTCTTACTTCATCTCCAGAACGACACTTGATTGTTCATCATTATGTTTAATTAGGGGCTGGCTGACTTTTCTTCTTGCTGGGTTACTGGTCTTCTCCGATAACAAATGAATGTGTGTTCCAGGGATGGCATCTCTTAAATCAGGAAAACTGGAAACATACAAAAATAATGAGCTCCCACATGCCCATTCCATACAATTATCAATTTATGGCCAATCTTGTATCATTTTCACCCTTCCTAGATTATTTGAAGAAAAGCTTTTTATCCTTAAATATTTTGCTATGCATCTCTAAAAGAAAAGTATTAAAAATAACCAGAATTATTTCATGACAAAAAATTAATAGTTGTTGTTTAATATAATCAAATTATATCCAAATTTCCCTGTCTTCTAAAGTTTTTATTTTTATACCTGGTACATTCAAATTAGAATCCAAACAAGGTCCATAAATTGCATTTGACTGATATGTGCCGCAGTCTGGCTGGGCACAAAATCACGAGCCACTCAAGCAGGAACAAAGTTTATTTTTTGAAACTGCCGCCAATGTCCGGTACGCGCCCGGGAAGATTTTTTCCACCCACGCGGCCTCCTCCCGGACCCGCCGAGAGAGCTCCTCCCCCGGAACTCCCTCCTACTGTACTTCCCCAACCAATGGGAACTCTCCAGGAGTCCCGTAGCCGGCCTAGGTGAACAGCAGGAGTCCAATATCCATATGAATGCAAATCTTAACATAATCATATCATCTCAATGGCTAGCTGGCGTCACCTTTAGACTAAAAATGCCATGCATCATATACTTGGCTCTTAGCAGATATGCTGTAAAATCTCTGAATTTATAGGTTCCTCACACCATGTGACCTAACTATACAACTCCTCAGTATTTATCTTAAAGAATAAAAGTCATCATACTGTAGTTATAAATGCATATCCGTGTTTATAGCAGCATAGTTCACAATAACCAAAATTATGCAACCAGCCTAAATGTTCCTTAATGAATGAATGGATAAAGAAAATGTGGTATATCTACACAAAGGAGTTTTATTCAGCCATAAAGAAGAACAAAATTCTGTCATTTGCAGGAAAATGGATGAAAGTTGAGAATATTATGTTAAATAAAATAAGCCAAACTCAGAAAATCAAGGGTTGTATGTTTCCCTTGTAGAAAGGAAAAGAAAGGTGTATGGGAGTGGCATCTCGTAGAAATTGAAGGGAAACCGGTAGAGTAGAGGAAAGGAACCAGGGCAAAGGAGGAAGGCAAAGACAGGAGGAGTACTGGGGAATGATACTGGCCAAATTATATTGTTTTACCATGCGCAAGTGTGCATATGTAACAGTAAATCCAACTGTTATAATATATAAGTATGATGCACCAATGAAATATGGAAAAAATTTATAGGTTCTTCCTTTTTCTCTCTCTTTTTTTTTTTTTTAGCATTCATTTGTTAAAGAAATGAGTGTTTCTGTTTGTAGTTTCCCACATCCTGGATTTTGCTGATTTCATCCCCAGCAGGTGTTTTAACATGTTTCTCTATTCTTTTGCAAACTGTTATTTAGATTGGGAGTCTCAACCTGATTCAGGTTTTATTGGAAAAAACATTTCATAAATGTCATTGTGTACTTTGATGAGGAGACTATAATGTCTGTGGGTCTCTTCTCTGGTCTTAGTGGCCATGATCCTTGCCTGATTTTTGTATATTGACCTTGTATCCTATAACTTTGTTGAACTTGTTTATTAGTTTGAATTGGTTTTTTAAAGTGAATTTCTTAGGATTTTCTCTACATATGTCATCTGCAAATAGAGAGATTATTCTTTCTTCCATTCCAATTGAGATGCTTTTAATTTTCTTTTTCTTGCTTCACTGCCCTCTCCAGACCCTCTGGTACAATGTTGAATAGAAGTGTTGAGAGTGGACATCCTCACCTTATTCCTGATCTTAGGAAGAAACCTTCACCATTCAGTATGGTATCTTAATTAGATTGAATTCACTTCTATGCCTAGTTTGTTGAATTTTTGTTTTGTTTTTTTAATGATGAAAGGACATTTTTTTTAAAGAGAGAGGTGAGAGAGAGAGAGAGAGAGAGAGAATTTTTAATATTTATTTTTTTAGTTTTTGGCGGACACAACATCTTTGTTTGTATGTGGTGCTGAGGATCGAACCCGGGCCGCACACATGCCAGGCGAGCGCGCTACCGCTTGAGCCACATCCCCAGTCCCATGAAAGGACATTGAATTTTGTAAGTGCTTTTTTGTCTAATATGAGATCATGTTTTTGTTTTTTTTTAATTCTGTTAATACTACACTATATTAATTGATTTTTGGATGTCAAACCAACCTGTAATCCTGGGAAAAATTTCACTGGATCATGATGTATACTTACTTTTATATGTTGGTAGATTCAGTTTGCTAGGTTTTCATATCCATATTATAAGAGATTGGTCTGTAATTTTCTTGTGATATCTTTGGTGTTAGTATCAGGGACTCAGAATGAATGTTCCAATTTTGTCTGCTTTTTGGAAGAGTTGGTGGAAGAAAGGTATTTGATTCTTTAATGCTGGTAGAATTTACCAGTAACACAATCTGGGACTGGCCTTTTCTTTGTGGGTAGTTTTTGATTACCAATTCAGTCTCCTTATTGCAATTCTATGCAGATTGTCTATTTCTTCTTGAGTCAGTTTCTATAGTTTGTGTCTTTAGGAATTTGTTCATTTCATCTAAATTATCACTTTTTAGCATGTAATTATTTTTAGTATTTTTTTTTTTTTTTTTGGTACCAGGGATTGAACTCAGGGGAACTTGACCACTGAGCCACCTCCTCAGTAGTATTTATATTTTATTTAGAGACAGGGTCTCACTGAGTTGCTTAGTGCTTCACTTTTGCTGAGGCTGGCTTTGAACTTGCGATCCTGCCTCAGCCTCCTGAGCCGCTGGGATTATAGTTGTGCGCCACCATGCCCAGTTAGTACTTTTTAAAAAAATTAATTAATTAATTTATTTTATAGTAGAATGCATTTTGATATATAGAACACAAATGGAGCATAATTTCTCATTCCTCTGGTTGTGTGTGGTTCTGGGTTACTCCACTAGTGTAATCATACATGT